TCCTGTAATAAGATGAGGTACATCCTCTGAGGGGAGGCAGTGGAAGGGAGCATCTCCATGGGGAGAGGAAGGGACTTCCCAGCCCTGCCACATCCCAGAGGTCCCCTTGTCCCTGTCCCTTTATATGCTTATGAACAACCACAGCTGAAGTCATCAGCACTGCAGAGACCTGAAACAATTAAATAGGACTCCCCTAAAGGCTTAGAGTTAAGTAAGAGAAGGGAAAGCAAAGAACTGAGCAGAAGGTAGCCCGAGAATCTGGTGACAAGACAGATGCAGCTGATTTATCTTCAGCCCACAGCCGATGGCAGGGATTGCTCCTTCCTGGCTCCTGACTTGCTGCCTCCCTCTCAAAGACATTCCCTGAGTCTTGAGAGAAACATGGAAGTTCCCACCCCTGCCTGTTCAAGTCTCTCTTTCTGCATTCCACGTCCCACCCTGAGGCCCCCCTCACCTATGCCTGCCTGATGCCAGAATGTCTATCTCTTTTAGAGACCACGTTACTGCCAGGTGTGTGACCTGATCCTACAGGGCACAGAAAGCACGGTCTCCAGGTAATCCCCACATAGCCGGGGCCGGGGTGGAGTGAGGGTGTAGTCATTCCTTCCAGGTGTTGTTGACTCTCTTGAGGTTCAACCCAAGACTAGAGATTGTGGTCAAAGGGACACCCAGATTGGATGGGTGTGCACAGGGCAAGAGCTGTGAGACTGATGTGACGGTGAGGATTAATTAGTCCTTTCTGCAGGACAGACTTCCACCTGCTGGTACAGCTCCCAGGCAAGGCGGGCCTGGGCAGACCTCACTGGCAAGGTGGACACCAGAAAGGGTGTGCATTGGGAGGGAGACTACTAGTTTCTGTTAAGGAGAGGTTGGCACCCATAGAAACTGACAGTCAGCTAACTATTGGCTGGTGCACCACCTTCCCTAACCTCTGAGAGAGCCTGCTCCCACTGCTTGTTCACATCCATTCATTCAACAAATATTTACTGAGTTTCTCTTAGGTGACCGGTGCTACTGGATAGAGCAGGAACAGGACAGCCATCTCGCCCCCATGGAGGTCACAGGACAGAGGGATGAAAGACAGTGAACAAGTAATTAAAGGGAGACAGGTGTTATGAAGGAAAAGTCCAGGAAAAGTATAATGAGGTACCTAATTAAGTCTGGGGCGACAAGGGATGCCTACTGAAGAGAATATCATTTAAGATATACCTGAGGAATTAGTAGGACTGAAAATGGAAGCTCCATGAGGGCAGGGACCATGCCTGGCTTGTGGACTAGTGCCCGTGTCTGGCATGGAATAGGCATGGATAGCTTTGGTTGAGAGGATGAAGGAATCTAACTGAATAAAGGGAGTGTGTGTGTGTGTGTGTGTGTGTGTGTGTGTGTGTGTCTATGTGTAGTTAACCCTGCTTTAGCTCAGCTTAGTAAACAGCTTTTATAAAACTGCTGACGCTCTGTCTGATTAATGATAGGTCAGAAAGGGATACTAATGAGATGTGCACCATTAGAGGCAACTTAGTAATAGAACAAGCCCTGACATAGATTCCTTGCCACTTGAGTTTGAACCCTGAATCTACCACTTACTAGCTATGACAACATGAGCTAGTTGCCCGCCACTCTGGTGCCTTGTTTTATGTAAGTTCTATCTTCCAGCATTGTGAGGATAAAAGACAATGTATATGAATTGGAATGTTATAGTATATTATAACATTAATACTATATAACTGTTACTATAGTATAACTATTATAGATATTATACTATAGGTCATATATAGTATATTATATATTTTATAGTATATATTTTATATATAGTATGGTATAATGACAACTATTAACATAATTAATAACTATAATACTTGGTAGTCACTGTTATTATTTATATATACCAAGCTCATATCCAAAGGGACTTTGATAGTTATGAGACATAAACATGATAAATCTGGATATCGTTAAACAAGAGTAAAATAATAAATTAAGTAGGAAGGGAAGGGAGGATGGGTATGCAGTGCTAGATAATATCTGTGTAGAAAGAGGATGAGCCCTTGGAAGATAAATCAGAAGCCTTTCCTACTGGGGAGGGGCTGCTACGCTAGGCATGCTGGCTGCTTCACCAACCTCCCTCCCCACAAGACAATCTTGTTTCAGGGAGTTCAGAATTTTTCAACCTCCAAGGCACATTTGTAGCAAGTTTTGGGTGAGGGATACTGAAATGAAAGGGAGATTGATGTGTATTCAGCCATTGGGCATGCTTCCAGAAAGGAGAGCAGACCCTTTTGTCCTTTACAGAGATCTTTGTGTATCTCCAAATCAGATGATACATAAGTACTTTATCCAGATTTTCTGGGACTTTCTTAATCATATTTACGTGGAGAGGCTGCTGCTTCCTGCTATATTCTCTTACCACAAGTTAACCACTGTTCTTACTTTCACGTTGTATCTTACTCTGTGAGAAATTTTTGAGCTGCCTGAAAACATTTCCTGAAATGGTTTCTCAAGTCTCTTTTCAAAAAGCTGCATTTATTGTGGATTAAGAAAGCTGAACTGCCATCAAGATCAAAACACCCACCTTTAATTTACCACAAATTACAATTCCTAAAAACCATTACTTTTCCACAACTCTTCACATTTTCATTACGTCCATCACCAGTGTTAATGACTGGATTTTTCTTGCGGGGTGGCGGGGAGGCAATTTATGCAAAGAAACAAAGTTCTTTGTTTTGTTTTTGTTTTTCTATTTTGTTTGTTTGGTTTTTGGCCGCACCTCACAGCATGTGGGATCTTAGTTCCCCAACCAGGGATTGAACCCGGGTCCCTGGCAGTGAGAGCGCCAAGTCCTAACCACTGGGCTGCCAGGGAATTCCCAGAAACCGAGTTTTTAGAACAGTTTTTTTTCTGGTAGGTTTCTGCCTACTCGACCGCTTGCTGAGAAACACAAAGCTGCTTTGGCTGGGTGGTCAGCTCTCATCTCCCACCCCCAGCTGGGCAGCACCATTCTTGCCCGTGCCTCAGCAAAACTGTGTGTTCCCACACATCAGGGGTCTTCACCGACAACTGAAGCAGCTGGAATGTCAGATTTGCAGATGCCACATGTTTACTGTGCCGAATATCCGTATCGAGGAAACACAAACAAGTAATAAAGCTAAGTGCTGCATTATTGCTTCATTGATTCACTGAAATAATTCTGGATATGATTAGTTGTATTATAGCTACAGAGTTAAGCCCTATTGTTAATTATGTTTTGGTGGTTTTGGGGGGACAACTTAATAGGGACACAATTCAAATGTTGCTCCTTCACTGAGGACAGACAGAACCCATGCAACATAGTGGGCTTTTTTGCCTCTTGTGTAAATTCCTCTCCCTTTTCTGTCATTATCATTATGTCATTATTGAATCTTCAGGGCATGACCCTTGTTAGGAAATGATGGAAAAAAATGCAATGGCTCTATAATCACCAATTACATTGTGACTTCTTTCATGTAAATGCCCCCAACTTCCAGTCTCATTTACTTATGATAAAACTGTAAGAGGTCCAACAGCCTTTGTTCAGCTGAATTTCCTGGAAAAGGATCCAAAATAGTGGATGGCCAGATGACTCACTGTCCATTGGCTTTCCATTGCTCACGTCAAAGACAAAGCCCTGACTAGAAGAGCTTGGCATTTTTTCGACATTTTTTGCAAAGATGACAAATTTCTTTAGATAGGCCTCTGTTTAAACATTGCATGGAAGAAGCTTTGTTGATTGTGTCATGGAGGTCTTTCGCCCTCCAGTGACCTCAGACCCCCCAAGTTGAACTGAGACTGCCCCTTCAGCATCTTTGCTACACGTATGAAACTGCAGCTATTCCATATAAATGCCAGTTGTGGAAATAGGAAATAGGCAAGAGATGTATGTGTTCCTGAGAAGAGGGAGTGAGGTTGCCCTTGAGAGCAGGAGGTTGAGAGCATTACCTATTAGGTTTTTGAGCATATGAAAAGGGATGATGTATGAAAAGGACCTAGCCCAGAGTTGCCATATGATCCAGCAATCCCACTGCTGGCCATATATCCAGACAAAACTATAATTTGCAAAGATACATGCACCCTAGTGTTCATAGTGGCACTATTTACAATAGCCAAGACATGGAAACAACCTAAATGTCCATCGACAGAGGAATGGATAAAGACGATGTGGTATATGTACACAATGGAATATTACTCAGCCGTAAGAAAGAATGAAATAATGCCATTTGCAGTAACATGGATGAACCTAGAGATTATCATACTAAGCAAAGTGAGTCAGAGAGAGAAAGACAAAAACCATATGATATCACTTATATTTGGAATCTAAAATATGACACAAATGACTATCTACGAGACAGAAACAGACTCACAGATATAGAGAACAGACTTGTGGTTGCCAGGGGTTGGGGGGAGGGAGAGGGAAGGATTGGGAGTTTGGGATTAGCAGAAGCAAACTATTATATATAGGATGGATAAACAACAAGGTCCTACTGTGTAGCACAAGGAACTATATTCAATATCCTGTGATAAACCAGAATGGAAAAGAATATGAAAAAGAATATATATATATATATTCAGTTGTATATATATCACTGAATCACATTGCTGTACAGAAGAAATTAACACAAGATTATAAATCAACTATAGTTCAATAAAATTTTTAAAAAAAGAGAAAAGGACCTAGCCCAGCACATGGCAGGTATTAAGAACTCAATAAATATTAAATTATTATTATCTACTTAGCAGTTATAGCACTGTTGGCTTCATGTGTCAGCAACACTTCCTGACTTGTTCATTTCTTGCCCTTCTTGGGGTCCTTTTGTTTATCTTAAAAGTTCTTCTCTCCCCTGAAATAATGAGTGTCCTCTCCACATCACATCTAGGGTTAAAGAGCTCGGAGCTGAAGGACCTCAAGTGTAGGTGTAGTAATAGATAGGGATAATGGCTAATTCCCAGGTCTTTTGACTTAAGAACATTCAGGCCCTGGGGACAGGGTTTACCTTTTTCGAAATGGAATCCCGTACTGCATAGTTTCCAGTTACTCCCGTCCGTGGTGTGGCTGGTGGTGGAATTTGATGGAGCATCACAACCACCTCCCTTTCCAAATCGCAGGCCCAGTCGGGATCAGGGACATCAACTCACTGCACACAAGCAGAACTCGTTCATTTGGCACATCCTGAATGATGCCAAAAGCTGTGCTCCAGATGGGCAAGAGCCTGAATGAGAAGCACCTCAAGAAAATCGCCTGCCTGGAGCCTCATTCTGAGTAGTTGAATGTTCTACCCTCTGCGGTGGGTTGGCCTGGGAGCAGGGGAGTCTTCGGGGCTGGGAGAGAATGGGAGAGGTGGCCTTGTTTGTTAGACTCTTCTTCTGACACCTAAAGAGCCAATTGGAAGAGTTGTCCCAACCCCGTGGTTCTGGGCTCTGAAGTGGTTTTTACTTATAATAGCAGCAATGCCCAGGCTCATGCCAGTGGGAAAATAGCCTGGAATCTAGGAGCCTCAGATTTTTTTTTCAGATTCCCTCAAATGTCTCATATCCTTTTTATGAGTTTACTTTTTCTGAATCAGGATTAAAATAAAGTCCATACATTATATTGGTCGATATTTTTTCTTATGTTTCTTTTAACATGTAGGTTCTCTTTCCAATTCCACTTTTTTTTTCCCCTTGAAATGTATTTGTTGAGGAAACTGTGTGTGCGCATGTGTGTAGGGCGTGGTCTCCTGTAGAGTTTCCCACAGTCTGGTTTTGGTTGATTATATGCTTGAGGTACTATGTAACACGCTCCTCTGTCCAATGAATTCCCTGTAAATTGGTAATTTCATTGGTAATTTCCTGGTTCAGTGTTTATATTTGCAGGACTCCTTCTCAGAGAGTGCTGTGAACTTCCAACAGAATGTGCATAATGTCTGCTTGTCTCTCTTTTGGTGATGTTATCAGTCCTTAATCATTATTGACTAATCCATGATTTCATTAGGGGTTGCAAAATGGTGATATTGAAATTCTATCATTCTGCTCATTTACTACTGGATTACTTCTGTAAGAGAAATTCCCTCATCAACCACATGGTCAGGTATGGTTCCTACAGGAAAGGCAGGATAAATGTTGATTTCTCTTTATTAGCAGTCTTCAAATTATTGAGTTTGCTACCTAGAACACTCCAAAAGTGACCAATTAAAAAAATCATTATAAAGTCACGGGTTTAAACATATTTGATGTACTTTAGTTCACTGTAGTCCGTTGTAGTTATTATTCTTTTTTTTTTTTTTTTTTTAGTTATTATTTTTATGAATGCTTAAATTGTCCCATCTTTGGCAACATTACCTCCTTTTGATGTAGTCTTAAGAGATTTTGATAGTCTTTGAATTTCTGATATGACAAGATATCCAAGCACACCTTGTACATTTCCTTTTCCAGGCTGAGAACCAAACACTTCTTCAAGGTTTCTATTGATCGGAATGCCAATTAGAGACTATAGTCAGGGTGCTAGAGATGTTCATTGCTACTGGGTTGGTCCTTGTTTCTACAGCCTTCTAATGGAAAGGAATATATACACATATATTTAAAGATATCATCCTTTGTTTATACTAATACTTTCAATTCCAAATAGAGACTCTCAGTGTTTTATGTAACTTCATATATCTTACATCTGTTCTTTCTCCCAACCAAATACCTCAGTCCCCAAACACACCAACATTTGCTTTATCTCTCAGTACTGTCACCATTAATTGATTACGTATATCTCACTATGGATATACAGTCAAATTACTGTGGTTTAAAGTTGTTTGAAATAGTTCTCTCTGTGATTATACCACTGAATCACTGTGCAGATAGATTCTTTTGTTTTATCTTGCTTTTTTTTTTTGCAGTACGCGGGCCTCTCACTGTTGTGGCCTCTCCCGCTGCGGAGCACAGGCTCCAGACGCGCAGGCTCAGTGGCCATGGCTCACGGGCCCAGCCGCTCCGCGGCATGTGGGATCTTCCCGGACCGGGGCACGAACCCGTGTCCCCTGCATCGGCAGGTGGACTCTCAACCACTGCGCCACCAGGGAAGCCCCTACCTAAATTATTTAGGCAGTTAAGGGAGAGGTAAAAAGCTGTTCCCAAGCCTGCTGGATCCTGATTGCCTTCAGCTCAATGGTCCATATGCCAAAGTGGCACATTTTGGGGTGGCCTATTTTGCTTCCCTTCAAGTTGTTGGTTCTTTTCCCTCTGCTTTTAGAAGCTCTTTATACATTAAGTATGTTAGCCATTCGTATGTGATATGTTTGTCATTTTACTTTGCTTATGATAATGTTTTCTCTTGTAAAAGTTTTTGCTTTTAAATTTTTATGTGGTCAAATGTATCAATCTTTTCCCTCAGTGGCAGCTGGACTTTTAGTCATAGTTATGAAAGTATTCTCCACTCCCAAGTAATAGAGAGATTCACTCATTCCGCCCCACCCCCCGTACTTATATGGTTTCACTTAAAAAAAATTCTATATGGAATTTATCCTTTTGTATGATAAATGGACACAATTTTTTTGTTCATATAGAGTTTCAAATCTGATATTATTAGCTCCTTCCCCCAGCCTCCCTTCAGCTTGTCTTTTCCTGGACATTTTATTCTTTTCGAGGTTTTCCAAAACTGGACATGGATCAAAATAAACGTCTGTTCAACTCCCTGCATTTGTTTTCATTTTGCTGTCTGTTTTTCTTTCCTGGACTCTGTGATTTCTGCAGAGTGTTTTTCCAGCAATTCAAGGAAGTTATGACCTTTCGGGCTTCAGGAAGAGTGGACTAAAGACCTGTCCAGAGAGTGATTCAAGCTGGAGCAGGTTGTGCAGACACCCAGGAGGGCCTCCTCTGCTTGGGGGTGGGGTAGGAAATGGCTTCACGGAGTGGGGGGTGGGTGGAGGGGTGCTTGCAGGTGTGAAGCACGTGGTAGCTCAGTTTTTGTTGATGATCCATGTTTCTTGTTTCCACCATCTTCGGTCTTTTCTTTTCCACCTCCCTCGCTTCCTTACCTACTTTCAGACAGCTCCTTGCTTTCCCCCTACTTTTCTTTGCAACAGCTTCGTATCCCAACCATTCAGCATACAAGAGGGCGCAAACTGATGGACTGCTGCCTGAATATCTGCAGAGACATGTAATCTGCTAACAGAATGTTTATAAAGACTGTCGAATGCATTGCCAACATTTTAAAATGGGAGATTGCACATAAAAATCCAGATTTCTAGATTTTCAAAATTCAGACTATCTGGTATCAAGGGGCCCACAGTCATTGCTGGTAACAATGGAGCTGGATGGTAGCTGTCCCTCTCAGGTCACTAGAGTCTACTCGGTCGGTGTCCCCTGGCTTCCCTAACACTGAGGGAGAATGTCAACTGGCATTTATTATTTAGCTTGAGCAGCTGTTTTTCCTCTAGTAGAAAAATTTTAGTCCCTACCCACATGTTTACTCCAAAGTTGGAAAACAAAGAAACAGCAAGAGCCTTGGTTTTCTCACCCTCAGCATGCTATGACGTCATTCACATTTCCTGCTCCGACCCTGTGGGGGCTGAGTTTACAACTTTTGCTAGAGACAAAGGCTCAGGTCTCCCTCCCGCTTTCTCTCCCTCTCACCCCTTCTTTCTCCGTCCTCCCACCTTTTGTTCATATGAAGATTAGTATTTAATGAACTGCTGTAAGGTTAAATAACTTCAGGACCACTACTGAACCTGCTCCAATCCTCGGTCTTCAGAAACGGTCTGTGGAAAGTCATCGCATTTTTGCAGTAGTATCTCGTGTGTGTACGTAGAAGATGAGAGAAGTTACTTTATCAAGAATCTATCTGGCACAACACTGTAAATCAAGTATATTTCAATTAAAAAAAAAAAAGAATCTATCACTTGTCTCGCTGTTTGTGTCATCAGCTAACAACCTATTCACATGGATGAAATCTGAGAAACTCACGGAGCCTGGCCAAGCACAGCTTTCTTTTAGGGTCATTATCGGCTGGAGATGGCATTCAGAGGGTAGTATTAGAAACCTGAAAAACAGTGACATAAACGAATTAAGGGTTCAATTTTTCTGCATTTAAAGTAACTCTCAAGGTGAGAACAGGGCTCCTAATGGGAACCTGGCTCCCTCTAGCCTCCTGAGCCATCATCTATAGGGCTGACTCTGTCCTGCCTCTAGTACCTCATTTCTTAATTTATTTTCCTCCTTGACACTTACCACATTCTGACATACTATGTATCTATTTGTTTATGATCTGTAAGCTCCTTGAGCATAGGGATCATTGTCTGTTTTCTTCACCCTGAAACCCCAGCATGGAAAATAGCATGTATTTGTTGAGTAAATGAATCAATGCTCTCAGGGTGACTGCTAGAACTCAGACTACCATGTTTATGTTTCTGGCAGGAAGAAGTGGGATAGTGAAGGAGAAAAGGGGACCCAAGACCAGAGAGCTGGCTTCAGAAAAGAACTCTTCTGCAAGCCCATTTAGTGACTTAGGCTGACGCCCCCTTGGCCAGAACTGTGTCGTGCCGTCACTCCTACCTGGACGGGACATTGAGAAAAAGAAAATTGTTTAAAGCAGAGGAATATGGATAAGCGAAATAAAACTGGAGTTCTGTTAGAAGGAGGAATGGGAGAATGCATATCAGGTCTCTGCAAGCTGCCCTCTCTGAATGCCTGGAGCTCCAGAGATCATCCACGGGGCTCTTCACCGTGACCCTAGGCCCTGGACTTTCTACTTTATTTACTCTTATGAGTAACATCAGCTTCCTTGAACTTCACCACACTGTGATTCCTTAATTCTATACTTACTGATTATTTGTTGGGTTTCTAAGACGTAGTTATACATAATTCCAGGAACTGTGAGTAGTAAGAACCCCCTCCCCCAAATCTGTCAACTATTCTATTTCTTAGGCACCATTATTCTTACTGAAACATTCAGTGGCTTAAGCTCTACCCTACAGGTTCCTGACTGCATATGTGCGCACAAGTGCGCATGTGTGCCTGTGTGTGTACATGAACCTGTGTCCACACATCACAAAAAAGAAGAGGGTGGCAGCCTCTCCACACCCCTTCCTCCTCCCTTCCAAGGCTGCTGGTGTCTGGAACTGAAAATGCTTTCATGTGTAGAATGCAGGCTTATGTACCCCAACAGGTAACTGGAGGAGCAGGGAGAGTTGGCGCCTAGGGCCCTGCCTATGAGCTCACTAAGGTGATGAGGAGGGCTGAATTCCAGTTTGTGCTCAGCTCCCTTGGGCTCTCACCACGGCATAGTGCAAGGGCTGTTTGCCCAGAGGAAGGGGCCTTTTTTTTCTAGTTTATGAAAAGTGTGCTCTTCGTTGCCGAGCATGTATGCTTATCAACCGCTTGTGCCCAGAGGACGCGCCTTTTCCTACTTAATTCACTCAGAGGAGGAGTCTTTAAAATGCACCCAAAGGCTCCCTGTGGGCTGGCTTCAGCACCCTCTCCTGTATGGAGGTCAGTAGATTTCGCCCCTGCTTATTCTGAAAGCCAGAGATCTGTGACCACTGCCGTCCCCTGCTTCCTTCTTTTCTCCATCCAGTCAATGTCGGACTACTGAATGAAAGTAATCTGAAGACAGACACATTCTGTTCTTCTCTTCAGACCAACACCTTCTATTAAAAAACCATCTCCCCGTGTGCTGCCGTGAGTGAGATCCAGCCGAGCTCACATGCGGTACAGCCTATGCTGTGCTCCACTGAGTGGTGAGGAATATCCCAGCCTAGTTCACACTCACGTCCAAGTCACCTCTGCAGGTGTCTGACCTCAGCCTCCCTCATCTTAGTTCTATTTTAGAGAGTGGCATCTTCTGATGCTAGCACCAAACTGGGATGAGCTGTTTCTGGAGCCCCTGTGTACTAGCCACAACTTCCAACTTGGAGAACCTGTGAATGTATGAAATAATCTGATCGTAAAATGCTCAATAAATAAGGAAAGTACAGAATAGTTATAGAGCAGACTGGTTTTTAAAAAGTGACAGGTTAACCTGTATATCAAATTAAGTCTCATAGAGAAGCTCGCTGTATAACAAAAACGTGAAGGTGGAGCTTCTCTGTGTGAAGAGGGTGAAGGAGATGAGCCCTCCCCACAGTACATCCACCCAGATACTCGTAAGAGCCCCTCAGGTGCCTCTGTGGTTCTCCAAGGATCTGTTGAGCATGATTTGCAAATGTATAGGTAGTGGAAAGGACCCAGGCTTGGACTTAGGAAATGGCATGAGTTCTTGCTTTGTGGCCTAGGGCAAGTGAAACAGCCCAGTCTCT